TTTAGAGTGCGTCTCTGGACCGCGAGCCGACCCCTATCGAATGGGGCACGGGCCTCCACTTAGACTTACTCGATAACAGCTCACCGGAGGTGTCACCGCTCAGGCCCACCGAGGGTAGCCTGACATATTCCACCCCTCCTTCCGATCGAAAAGGATGCGCGAGGGTCGCATAAAAAGCTAGGGGAACTTTTGATCGCCCTCTCGCTCCATGCAAGAGGCTCAGAGGCTCTTCCTGCAACCTTGCCGAGACCCAGCGACCTAGGCTCGCACTCGAGGGGGCTCGGCAAACGAACCCCTCCTTCCGAGCGAAAAGGATGCGCGAGGGCCACCGAAAAAAAGGGAAACCACTGATCGCCCTCCCGCTCCGTGCAGAGGCTCGGGGGCTCTTCCTGCAACTAGGCCAAGTCCCAGCGACTCGAACTCGCCCTCATGGGCCCGGCAAATGTGATAAAATTCCTCGCTCAGCGGGGACAAAGCCTCTGGAGGGGTAAATCTAAAGATGGCAATGGGGACCCGCGACCCGATACCCGACGGGTATTTACTCCATTAGGGTCTAAATATGGACTAAACACACTACCCACGGGTACATAAATGGACCAAACCCTTCACCCATCGGGTACACGGGTATGGGTATGTTCCAGCAATCCCTGTACCCGTTTATCCATGGGTGAAAAATACCTGGCCCAAAACTAAATAAGCCCACCAGCCCATGTAAAACCCTAGGTTCACCCGCCGGTCCCGCCTGGTGACTTGGCCGCTGGAGCCCTCGACCGCTCGAGGGAGGCTCAACGCCTGGCCTCCCGCCGCCAAAAAAAATAGGCGCATGAGTAAAGCGCATCGTTACCTCGTCTCGGCGTTGGCAGCCTAGCACCGCAATCACCACTCGCTAAAAAAACACCGCCGTCGTCGAAAAAAAACTACGCCGCCCTCCCGCCCCTTGTGACCTCGTCTCGGCTTCTCACGTATTCGCATCGCATCGAAGTGCTAGGAACTCACCACGCCATGCTGGCGATGGAGCAACTCGAGCAAGAATGGTGATTGCCCTGTTCCCCTTCCCCTCATCCCCTTCATATCATATTCTTTGCACTTGCAAGCGCGGCACTGCAGAGGCGCTTGGCCCTCCGTGCTCAGCGCCGCGCTCCTTTGCCTCTTTCCCCCCGCACTAACCAGCTCCTTCACTCTAGTGTCAAGGGATTTCATGGAGGTCCTAGAGGATGGTGACCACCTGAAGCTGCCGGATCCTGAGCTCATCGACGTCGTGAACACTCTGAAGCTGCAAGATTCGGAGGTCCAAGTTGAAGTCGCTGCCGGCGCTCCTACAGCGGATCCGAAGAACGGCGCCGGTTAGTGGAGGTTGCTGTTGAATTGTTGATTTTTCATGTGCGTGAATAAATTATTGACGGGTACGGGTGACCCGCCGGGTATGATTTACCCGGCCGGGTATGGGTCTGGGGAAAATCCTCCACCCATCGCGGGTATGGGTATTCTAGCGGTACCAAATTTTTATGGCGGGGATGGGTCTAGGGTGGCCATACCCGATGGGGATTTACCCATTGCCATCCTGAGGTAAATCCACTCCTCCAGGGCCTCGGGGGCTACACCCGGCGGGTGCGCTCGCACGCACCCACCGGAACCTCAAAAAACAAAAATCCCGACGGGAGCAGCTGCAAGCCAAGTCTCGACAAACCCTCAGGGAAAGTGCTCACACTCCCCCTGAGGCTCGGGGGCTACTGTCGGATACCATAAAAAGGGGTACCCTAAGCAAGAACCAAAAAAATTGCTAAAAACCTCACAAATATCAAAGCCAAAGGACAATCACAGGGTCTCGGCCGATTCTCCGACTTGCCCGAAGCCCGCGTCGCAACGACTCTCCGCCTCGCCGAGGCCCCCTCGCCGAGGACCTCTCGTGCCGAGGCCCCACTCCACAAGGCCTCAGACAGGTTACCGATTCTCCGATTCACCCGAGGCCCCGCGAGTGAAGCCGCGGACGAAGTACCGATTCTCCGACTCGCTCGAGGCTGGCTCGGCAACAACCTCGGCGCCTCCGCCTCGACCGACTTCTCTGACAAAACATCATGCGTCCAACCACTCCTGCGACGTCAGCCGCACGTGGGCACAGTACAGCAGGGTGGCCGACGGGACATGAGATAGGACGAAACAGGGGTTACTGGCCACTGTGCTCAGCACTGCACCCATGCCTGGCGCCCATACTACACTGTGCTACCTAATTCCTGCTCCAGGAGCAGCACGGCGTGGGGAAGCAGGCATGGGTCACTGTAGCCTCGGAATCTGTGCCGAGACCAACTGCTCACTCCAAGGCCTCGGCAATCCACTTCCAGGTCTCGGCAGCCTCGGGATTTGAGCCCACCGAGCCCCCACGATGGCTCGGCCTCGGCACCAACTGAGCCTCGACTCTTTTCACCGTCAACCCATAGCGACCAGCACACCGTCGGCCATACCCTGCATCAAGCTATCACTGGAGCGCCCACGTCATACGAAATCGGGTGTGACCGGCGCGTGCTCTAGTACATCAAGGACAAGACCACTCCATTGACCATGCCGCTACAGTAGTAAGCTACAGGACTCCAGCACGCCACCTCCGCTCGCCGCATGGCGAACACATGTATCACCCCTGTCCCTCCTTCAACTATAAAAGGAGAGACCGGGGCCGTTCTTAAGGGGGGACTGACGAACTCATGGGGATAGACTCACGTAGACACACGCTCTCCCAAGCTGCCTGAGAGCAACGTCTCAAGCAGCCCACACCATTCCACGCCGAGACCTGGGACTAGCTCCCTCTCTCACCCAGCTTGTAACCCCCTACTACAAGCACTTCGGTGTAAGGAATACAAGATCGATCTCTCAGACTAGACGTAGGGCACCAATTGCCTGAACCAGTATAAACCTTTTGCCTCTTTGCATCACCATCCGAGATTAGGGGCACGCAGTTCACATTTACTAGTTGGTTGAGGACCCCCCCGGTCCGAAACACCAACACAAAGTAAGTCGATTCAAGTTGATTCAGATCCCGAGCACACGCTCGAACACTTAGCTCATAGCGGGGCTCCTGTCGCTTTCGGTCCCTCTGACCAGAGTCCGACCGGACCTCTTGTACCCCTATCTTTCTCCTTCTTATTTGTAACCCACTGTAAACTTCGAGTACCTGGGCTCAGGAATAAAATCACCGACCGACTCAAACTGGACATAGGGCACGTTGCCTGAACCAGTATAAACCTTGTGTCATTGAGTGCTAGGCCATCTCCGATCACAACGTACTGTAAAATTACAAATATTTACTTGTTGGTCACTTTCTGCACTGACAATTAGATACTGTTCCATTCGCTTGACTGAAAAAACAAGTCAAAACACTATTTTGGTTGATTTGTTGTGAGAGAAAAATATTGTTCTGATTAAAATAACAAGCTGAATAGTACGGATTATAAGAAGCGAATAAGGCCACTAAAAGCCTCTCACACTAGGAGTAGCATATTGTACATGTTGGAGGCAATGAATTACACGTAATCTGTTTTGTCAGTTTGTCACCGTGTATGTCTACGTAGACTTTTATAGTACTCCATCCGTCTTAAATTATAAGTCATTTCAAGAATTTTGGAGAGTCAAATAATCTCAAGTTTAACCAAATTTATATGATAACATAATAACATTTATGATACCAACTAAGTATCATTAGATTTTTCATTAATTATATTTTTATAATATATCTATTTGATGTTATAAATCTTTGTAAATTTTTCTATAATTTTGATCAAACTTGAGATTCTTTGACTTTATGAGATTTTGGAATGATTTATAATTTGAGATGGAGGGAGTACTCAGTAGTAAAGTTCTCAAGTGCAGACCTTAAAAAAATACAGTAAGTGTGCACAATCTTGGCAGCTACTCACTGCTGGAAAAAAAAAACAGCTCGCAACGAGCCGCGATATCTCACCAGTTGCCTGTCGCTAACTGAGAGGAAGATGACTACGCTGGTGCTAGAAAATATTAAGGTCTAAGACTCATGAGCCCAGTGCTTCCTATATAAATTTGGCTGGATTACACCCTCTTGATTTACAGCCACGCCGCCACTGCACCAAACACACACCGACGCACGTCCTGGATCACAATCCACAGTTACGTGGCGATCCGGCGAGGCATCGCCCCTAGCGGCCTCGCCCGCAAGCAAACCGCACAGAAAAGGCAGCGCGGGCGCGCGGCGGTGGAGTGGGGTAGGGGCGTCTTTCCACGTGCCGACCGGCTCAGCTGCCATCCCGACGCCCGCGGCCATCCGACGGGCCTCGCAGCTCGGCCGGCCGCCGCCCCCGCCTCGGGTCTGACACGCCGCAGTACCCTGTCGGCACCGCGCACGCGACCTCCCCTATGCGCCGTGGCGAGAGAAAAAAAACAAGACGTTTCCGTCAGCCGTGGAAAGGGGCCGGAAACCGCGAGCACGGTACGTAACGTACGTATACGTACGCACGCCTACTATCCGTTGGGGTGGTGGTTACCGGCCAGCCGGCCCCCGGGCCCCGGCCTGCTGCTATATAATGGCCGGGGTCCCGGGGCGGCACGGCCCAGGGCAGGACATGAACTAACCCAACGTCTCACTGCATTCATCGATATATTATTACTGTAGTCACATCTCTCGTCATCTTTTACTTCAACTGACCTTTTCCTTTAGGTTGTAGTAGCATATACATAAGCTACTATCATCTTGATGACTTGATCTGTTTTATTTGATCAAGATCGGCGACGGCGAGCAAGCTGCGGCCTTCTTTTGCTTCGATAGATACATCTCCACTTGTTTTTGCTGATTTGGGTTTTCTTTGTTTGCTTCTACCTAGCTACTAGTTCTGCAGCTTCGATTTGTTCCGAAACTTTGTTGATCTATCTGTGCTATTGCTCAGATCAGCTCACCCACGTCGCACGGAACAAAAACACTGTTTTTTTAGACCCTAGATCTCTGACTCCGTAGTGCTTTCGCGTCCTTAACCTTGATCTCGATGGCATGCAAGCCGTACTACAACACCAACAGCTGCACCGGCCGCCACGCTACGAACGCGCCGTCATTTCCACGACCGCCGGCGCCACCCCAGCCGCCGCTCCTGCCGCTGCCGCCGCAGTACTCCTTCCAGCCAGTGAGCCGGCCGGCCCCGCGTGCCAAGAAGCCACGCCGCTACGACGCCGCGCCAGGGGCCTCGGCGTCGATCGCCGTCGCTGAACCGTCCAAGAAGAGGGTGGCGCCGGCGCCGGCGACTGGACTGGATGAGGAGTTACTGGAGTGGACGGAGACGGCGGCGGACCCGCTGTACTCTGTGTCCCCACCGCCGAGCAGCGTGCCGATGCCTACGTCTCTGTTGCTCACAGTCACGGCGGCGAGGACGAAGGCGACCACAGCCTGCGCCGTGGAAGTGGTGGCCGGCGCCGGCAGCAGCGGGGTGGATGTCGGCGCCACCGACGAGCTCCGACGGATCCTCAGGCTTTAGCTCCGAAGCTGCGGCGGCGACGGCAACAAGGATGTGATCTGTGTGACTGTCCGTCGTTCTTTTTACTCCTGGCGCACGCAGTAGCGAGGCCAGCTAGCCAGCTTCGTTCATGGGTAGTTTTAACATGCCTGATTATAACGAAGCATGCTCTGATTTCATCCCCAAGTTGTATTTCAGTAATCGAATGTGTTCGAATGTATTGTGCTACGAACCAAGCATTCCAGTATGAGATGTCTCGGCGCTTGATTTCATTTTTCATCTCAGGCTTGTTTAGTTGCTTTCCAATTGAGATTTGAGGTGGAAAATTAACTAGTTTTTCACCATCCATATTTGGATTTGGGGGTGGATTTAGACTCCAATCCAATGTATTTGGTGGATAAGGATGAAAAATTAGCTAGTTTTTCACTCCAATAAATATGGATTTGAGCGATTAGAATGCAGCTAAATAAAAGCCTTATAAAATTTCAAGTCCTGAGCTGAACCAGTGTTTCCTAGCCACGGCCGGCAGTAACCATACGCTTAACTGTATTTCCGGATTTACTAGTGGTACGATAGAGATGAAACGCATCAGATTTGCAGATCTCCAGCCAGTTCTTTATTAATTAAGAAAACAAGCTGCAACACACAACTGGAGTTTTCAAGAGGTGCAAAATTGCAACAGGCAACATGTAATAATGATACGATCTCAGTCATATCAAACTATGAAAGCACAGCTGCTGATGAGAAGCGCAAGTTAGCATAATAGTGTACTTCTGAATTCTAATAAAATGCAGCACCATGAAGGGTACACTGTACATTCTCCATTCTAAATTATATTTTATTTTGGTTTTATCGTCAAATTTATTTAAATTTAACCTAATTAATAAAAAAATGCACAAGCATATACAAATATCAAATCTGTTTTATTAAATACTCTATGAAATATTATACTTTAGAAGTGCATTATTTGAATTTGTAGATGTTAATATATTTTTCTTAAACTTGATCAAAGCAAGAGAGGTTTGACCAAGGACAAAGCCAAAGTGAACTATTATAATTTAGAAGGGATGTAGTAATAATTTGATTGACACAAAAACAGGTTTAAACCGCTACGAGAGTATTGTCACCTGACAGTAACAGAATCTACAGAAAGGGATGTAGTGAACCTTCTTTATTTATTACTAGAGAACAACTAATCACAGTTGATTAGCCATGCTTCTCTACAAACTCAAACCAACACATAAACAATTATACAATTATTTCTGACAAAAATATACCAATGAGACAATGAAGATAATATACATCGCAATCTTTTCTCTGATTGATACATAGCCTAGTACTATCATACAGAAGTGAAGTCCAAAACTGAGATGGATCAGTTGTCGCAGAATGCATGAAGGGTTTCATCGAGTGCATTCCGGTCATAATCCCCCGTAAAGACACAGCACCCTAGTGGTCCTTTCAGAAGGATGAGTCTCAACAGACCATCAGCTACCTTCTTGTCAACCTGATGTGTCATACATGAATCCAGTAAGAGTGTTTTTTTATATAGAAAAAAAGATGCAACCTGAGATACTCTAAGTGCGCTACAATAATGCAATGGAAGCACAAATTAACAATTTGCGAGTCCGGCAAGAACATGGTACTTTGTGCAATTGCAAAAAAACTGACTTAGTGCTAATTAAAATGCTGCTGGCAATCTCAAGGTACTTACAGCCATGATGTTTTTAAACTTCTCCACGGTCATGGCCTCTGGAGGTGCAATGGGAACCTTGGCTTGCTTTAGTATGTCAACCACACGATTTTTTAGGGACTCATCTATCCACCCCAGGCGGTAAGACATATCAGCTGTCATAACCTAGGGTAGTTCCACCCCGAAAACATAAGCAAAAGATAAGAAAACAACACTACAGAATACTAAGAGACTGTATAATAATTTTCAAGTGATTTACTGTTCCAGCTGCGACAGCCTCCCCATGGAGCCATGCTCCATATCCAAGCCCAGTCTCGATAGCCTGACAAATAACTGTGAGGATCAGTATACAGTTGGTGCATTACAATAACATAAGGTTGCTAAAATTCTGATAAATTCTGATGTGATAAAGGTGTTTGAGGTTGTTGCACCCGAAACTTATCAATGTCAGTAAAAATTAATCACACATAAAAATCCAAACATTATAACACATACATGGCCAAATGTGTGACCCAGGTTTAGTGTTGCTCGTAGACCACTTTCCTTCTCATCTTGTGCAACCACCTCAGCTTTGTTTTCACATGATCTCTTGATAACATAGGCCAAAGCATTTGGTTCTCTACAGATATACATTTCAAGCACAACGTTAACAGCAAGATGAAAAATTAATTACTACACTCACATTTTCTCAACAAGTGAAAGTTCAGCAATTATGCTATATGTAATGCTATTGTAACTTGTAAGGGCTAAACTAGACTACTAGTAGAGTGCAAAATTTCTTCCTAATTGCAGTTCGCTAAGCATCTTTCACAGCTACTAGGAGTAACAGATAACAGATCAATCTACGTAGCATGGGCAAAGTAAAACAAAACTGACAGTTTATTTAGCTACAATAACAAAATTGACTTTTCATACAACGTCTATTCAGAAGTTGGGGAACTTCACAAAATTCAGATAACAATGTTCTTTCATTTGGTCATACCACTCCCAAATTAGCCATTTCAGGAAATATAAATACACAGAAATGGGTATTCCTCTGAATATTTCAAAGTGGAAGTGACAACAATTTCTTGAATTGCAAACAAGATTAGGTAGAACAGAAGATTGGATGTTGAGGTGACTACACATTCCTTGCACTCTAGGACCAGTGTCTACAAGAACCACAAGTCTAATATAGTCATAAACTGCTGTCTAGGCAATGTGTCTACAACTCGTTGAATAAAAATACGATAGCATTAATGCACACAGGAACAGGTTGAATTGAATACCTTGCTAACAATTTCGGCATGTTCTTCTCTTGCCACTCAAAGAATGGTGCATCCCTTATGAGCCCATACTTTACTACCTCGGCGATGCCTGAAGCCAGCTCCCTGTCAGGCAATGTGTTCAGTGTATCTGTGTCAATTAGAACACATTGTGGCTGGTAGAATGCCCCAATCAAGTTCTTCCCGAGTGGGTGGTTAATCCCGGTTTTCCCACCAACAGATGAATCCACCTGAAGCAGTCATCCGAGCAACATCAGAAACAGACCTATATGTAACACAACTTTAGGGAACCATAAATCAAGCTTATGACCTGGGCCATCAGAGTAGTTGGTATCTGTATGAAATTGACGCCGCGGAGGAATGCAGCAGCTGCAAACCCACACATGTCCCCAATGACGCCACCACCCAGTGCTACAAATGTGCACCGGCGGTCAAACCGGGACTCTACTGCCTTGTCAAAGACCTTCATCAGCGTGTCCTGCCGATCACAGCCAAGTCAGGCAGTCAGCTAAATCTATACGAACTGAAAAACAAACGCATTCACACAGAACGCTGGAAAACACAAGCGAGCTCACCATATCTTTGTACTTTTCGCCGTCGGGCAGGATCACGCTCTCCACTGACACATTCGGGTTGTTGTGGGTGAGTGCCCATGTCACCTTCTCGAGGTAAAGCGGCGCGACGGTCGTGTTGGTCACCACCAGAACCCTCTTACCATGAACATGCCTGCGCAAACAAAAATAAGGATCACAGACTGACCACTCCAGTCTAACAGACGAGGAAAAAATTGTATAATTTGACTACCTCTGCAGCAGGTCCGGTTCGTCGAGAAGGCCTGCGCCGATGTAAATCGGATAGCTACGGTCGCCGAGGTCGACATCGACTACCGTGGAGACCCTGGACTCCGCCGGAGGCTGCATCGTGGGAGCGGTGCTGGCTACGAAGCGGCTCCGATGGCGCCTCGCAGGGGAAGCGCGGAGGGAATAGCAGGAGTGACGCGACGGCGAGGGGACGGAGGCGGCGGCCGGAGCTCCACGAGGGAGCCGGGGAGAGATGGCCGCGCAGGATGAGGATGCGGCGGCTGCAAGGAGGGAGGACGCGGAGGCCGCCATGAGACTGGGGAAGCGGCGGCGGCGGGGACGGGGACGGTGACGGCAATGTGGTGGTGTAGTCGGTGGTTGTTTCCGATCCGGGGATTTGAGGCGGGTGTGGCTTGGTAGGTGGGCGAGGAGCACGCTGATGAGTGAGACGGATCGATCTGGGCAGTTGGTATTATGAATGGACGGCTGAGATGGTACTGCGGTTGGTGGGTGGGGATGGTGCGGCTACAGGGGAAAGTGAGTCGACGTGGCGGGATGGTTGGCGAAGGTGCCGCTTCCCCAACGGCAGCTCGGTGTGACTGAAAGTGGAGCCGGTCAACATTGAGATCTTCATTCCGAACGTTTTTCCGTCTAAGGTCGTTCTAACCTACTCCGTACAATAGAAATTAGGATGGTCTAACGGTCGATGATCATTACTCAGAGTGACAACTAACGTAGCATTGAAATTAAGAAAGAAAGAAAAAAAAGCAGTTTCGTAGATAGATACTTCCTGCGTTTATAAGCCGTTTTGAATTTTTTTTTTATATATTCATCTTGTTATGCATTTAAATATGTCTAGATGTATAGCAAGATGGATATAAAAAAAAGTTAAAACGACTTATAATTTAGAATGGAATGAGTAGATAATAATAGAAGAGGAAAGACACATGGTCAAATAAAAATTTATTTTGAAAACATCCATCGAAAGTATGATATTTTTATGTAGTGTCTATATTGGCTTGGCAGATATAGAAACTATTTTATAGTTTTTGGATTAGGACTACCATAATAAGCTTTTAGACTTTATTATACATTTTGCAAGATTGAATTAATTATACATGACATCGAACTCTGAACAATTAGCTTGTTCGCTTGTTGGTTTCAGTCAGGCCACAGTGTTTTTCTCTAAAAAAAATCAGCACTAGTCAGTCCAAATCAGCACCAGCACTAACCAACGAACAGGCCCATTAAAGACGAAAATGTGATCCTGAATTGCCTATCCTGCACAATCAGACAAGCAGCGCCTAGCAGCCGGTTCCGTTTGGAGTTGATGGGACGCTCGGACTGGGCTGCAGCGGCCCAACACAGCCACGTAGAAGACACGGTTTGACGTACGTAGGGGCCAGAGGGACGATGCGAGCGCGGTGGGGTGGAGTGGAGCGCGCGCACGAAATCGGATTGGACGAAACCGGACCCTATTTTTTAGGTGGTACTATATATAGAAGAAAAACCCCTTCAAATCACCTCTTGTAAAACGATAATGGCCCGTTTGTTTGTCTTATAATCCGTATTTTTCAGCTTGTTTTTTTAGCTATGATAGTGTTTTTCTCTCACAACTAATTAGCCAGAACAACATTTCGGATGATTTTTTCAACGAAACGAACGGGGCCAATACGTCACTTGGAAAAAAGAAGTAATTAGATGAGCACCAGTACATTTTCCAAGGTCCTGGCCCCTTCTCTTACTCAAGGCCATAATATCTCCCCTACCATGGGGAGCATTTGATCAATTATTTTTCTTTTCCTTTTCTTCCTCCCCTTCCAATCCTATTCTCCCCTCCCTCGCGTGGTCTAACCCTGCACTCCTTTGTGAGTATGATTGAGTATGAGTAGAGAACATAGTATTATATGTACATCACGTAGGTTCTTCAATGTAGATAGTGCGGTTAAGGTGCTATCCGACCATCAATTAAGTGGCGTCAGACTTAGGGTCGGATATCGAGCCAGCTCGGCTTGGCTCGGTCCAGCTCGAGCTGGCTCATTAATATTACGAGCTAGAGGGGTAACTCGGCTCGGCTCGGCTCGTTACCGAGTTCGAGCTGGCTCGTTTAGCTCGTGAGCTATAAAAAAAATATGACACACATGTTTATAATGTTTATGCTACATTAATTTTAGAAGGTGACGTCCACCATTATGTAACAATACATGATTAATACATATCAGGTTTATGAAAAGTATCAACCATGCAATATAGCTGGTCCATCCATGATCATGCAGTTCCAGCATACTAACTAGTTGCTTGTCACCATAAACTTAGGAAAGTCCACAGATTCAATGTCAGCATCATCATCTTCTCCCTGGAAAACAATCCATATGCCCTGTTCGTTTGGAGGAATTTGTGAGAGCGTGAGCAGTGAATTTCAGCCGACTACAGTGAATTTCGGTTGGTTTTTCAACCAGCCGAACGGCGCCATAAAATCAACATTTAAATACCACAACAATTATAAAATTAAAATTCATATGAAACAGCTGAAAATAAGGATTACATACCAATAGAATAGGTGTACACTTCTAGGTCAACATCATCGTCTTCTGAATTCATGGTCGTGGGTTGATAGACCTTAGTTTGTTTCAGCTCGCGAGCCTCGTTAAAATAGCGAGCTAGACTTATAGCTCAACTCGTGAAAAAGTTAAAACGAGCCGAGTCGAGTCGAGCTGAGTTGGCCACGAGTCAAGCGAGTTGGTGAGCCACGAGTATTTTGTCCAGCCTTAGTCAGACTGTCCAATAACCCCTCATACCGTTGGGTTAGGGTCACGGAACATCCGAAGAATTCAGACCATCTCTGGAAACTCTAAAATGGTGAGCTTCACGGACTATCCAATAAGTAGGGGTGAAAACGGTACGGATATTTTCCGACCATATTTGATACTGAATCCGTTTAGAGAGGTTCAGATCTGTCCGTATATGAGTCCGGATATTTAACATCCGATAGCGTATCCTTATCAAATGCTCAAATCATATATTTATGATATCAATATCTAATCATATTCTATCCAAACAAAAATATAAAAATAAATATAATATCAATGATATCCGTTCTTATCGTATCTGCTTTCATCCCTACCGATAAGTGAGGACCGACCTCTGGTAACTTGGGCACGCTTTCAGCTGTCTCGGGCTTGGGACGAGGAATTAATCGAATTGTCCGACAAGGTTCGACAAATTGTTCGGTAGTTATTTTTTTTTAAAGAGGCAGGGCCTCAGCTTTTAAGAAAGCAAGGTACGATACACCACTGGGTACACCAGTTTCACTGGAAAGCAAAATAGAATTAGCAGTTCGTTGCTGATTCGTGAAAAAGTACTGACTGATTTGTGTGAGAGAAAAATACTATTTCAACTAAAAATTTACTATCGTTTACAACAAGCCACAGCCAAACGAACAGGCCGTAGAATCTCGATACAGAGACTAGATATCATATAGAAGCTAAATTTCATAAATGTCAGTCGAGATCATCATCTTCGGTTTGAAGTTTCCAATCCAACGCAGAATGTCATCTTTCACTTGCTTGATACGCTGGTAGTCATCCTCCTTGAGGAGCGCACTCCATTTCTGCATGAACGATAGCGCATTGTATACAATGTCAGAAGGAGACTTTGGAAATTTGTGTTGAATTGCCATCTTGTTTCTGTTAGTCTAAATGGCCCAGGCGAATCCTGCAAAGACAAATAAGATCAGTCTAACGGGTAAAGGCCCTTTACCTGTAACCATGATTAAGAGAAGTTACTTATAGAGGAAGGGAACGAATCCCATGTAAAGATATCTCTTAAGGACCCCCAAATCATTTTCGCAGTGCGGCAACCAAAGAAAATGTGATTGACTGATTCAATGCCATCATCTAGGCAACATTTCTCACTCCCTTTCCACCCCCTTCTAGTCAAGCTGCGAGCACATTGCAGTTTGTTATTGAAAATTTGCCAAACAAAAAATTTATTTTCAAAGGGATTTTACACCTCCACAAATGACCTGCCACTTTACTTGGCATCCCACCATTAGTGACAAACCTATACAGGGACTTTGTAGTGAACTTCCCTTTACTCCCTAAACCCCATGACACAACGTCAGGCTTATCATGTTCCAAGGAAATCCCGCTGAGCACCCCCTTGAGCTCCTCCCATCTCCCAAATTCTTGGATGGACAGAGTGTTAGATACTTTGGACTATCTAGGTGTAGATCAATGGGTGATATCTTTACTAATTGAATCAAATAGACCTAGAGCTTGCTTCGGGAAAAGAGAGAGAGAGAGAGAGATGTAGGAGCCTCTGACCGTTGGAGGGGTTGGAGGAGCTCCCTGCCATCGCTGGTTCGCTGTGAAGATCTGCGCACGGGCAGCGACGGTTGGTGTAGCGATGGAGACCGGCGGTGGTGGCAAAGGCAGTGGCGTTTCCCGCCGCTGGCAGTGCCTCCTTCTCGATCGGACTAGGGTTAGACGGTGGGGTTGTGGCGGCAGCAGTGAACCTCGTATCGAGAGCCGTTTTGCCCCACCTTCTCTTTATAGGCACTGTGCGATGGGGGCCCACCAGCCACTAGATGGCTGAACGTCCCCAGTCAGGACGCGGTCAAGGGGTCCGTCTCGACCGTTGGGTCAAGACGGATGAGATCAATTCTAACATTCTCCCTCTTGATCTCAACTCATACTTTAACTTTAAACTTTGACTTTAATCCCTTTCACTTTTATTTGTTCCATCACAGATTAGTGCATAGAGCATGCTTCATCGTCACGGTCAATCGCCGATAGACTTAACAGCTACAATACACATCTCAGAGGTTAAATGCTTTCCTTGCCAAGGATCCAACCTTTTATACATCTTCTGAATAATAGGAGTAAAAGCTCCCATGGCTAAGTGTTGATCACTGACAGGAATGCCTAGATATTTCATTGGCGGTTCTCCCAAGGCACAATTCAGCATATTAGCTAGTCTTTCTTTCTCTGGTTGTGGGAACCCAAACACTAGAACTTCACTCTTGTGGAAGTTGATCTTGAGCCTGTCAGCCACTCAAAGCAGTATAGAATGAGTTTCAAGTTCCTGATAGACTGATCTGAGCCATCTATCATCAACATAGTGTCATCAGCATACTGTATGTGTGAGATCCCACCAGGAATGAGATGATCCAGAACCCCCTTGACATGGCCTTTGCTAATAGCCTTGTTAGGCATTTCACCCAAAACATCAGCAACCAAATTGAACAGGAGGGGAGAAAGAGGGTCTCCCTGTCTAAGACCTTTGTAAGTGCTGAAATATTTGCTCCTTTC